TTCCGTCTAAATAGACGTTGAATTGCAACAGGGTTTCAGAACGGCCAAATTGAAATTATATGTAAATAGCTAACTGTCAATTGAGCGGGCCCGGTCATCGCGCGGGGAACGGCACGGCCGCCCCGGCCTTCAATAAACACAGCTGCCTTCCTTGTTTCCACCGCTAATGAAGTGGCGCTTGTGGCCATGGCCCGTCCCGTCCGCCTCCTATCTGCGGGCTGCTTTCCTTGGACGCCATGGTAGTTCTCGCTGGCCCGCCAATCCCGGCCCGCTTCGACCCGCCCCGCCCTGCCATGGCCCGCACCACCACGGCCCGCTCCGCTCCACCCCGTCCCCCCGCTTGCCCGGCCCGGCCCGCCGCACCCTACTCTGCTCCGCCCGCCGTCCGCGCCGTTCTCTTTCGCTGGCCTCCCACGCGGATGCGATGAGGGGCTGGGTGTGGCGCGCGGTCGCCTCTAACGCATTCCATTACCCAAAAATTTGAATTAACGTGCTCTCCCTCTGGCGCGCGTGTAAAAGCTCTGCCGGCGCGGGGCCGTGGCGGGGGCGATCGCGGAATCTCGTCGGCCCCGCCTCCCCTCCCCCTCCCCCTCCCCCGCACCACAATTCGTTCCGCTGGCGGCGCGGAGCCTGCTTTGCCGCGCCCCACGCAGCTGCACGCGATCCGCTACTTTCGCTATCTTTTCCTGTGCTTTCAGGGGAGAAAGGGCTTGGAATTCTACATCTCGACAGAAATATATTTTACAGGGGGCATCGATTTTTTTGTAATTTTTAAAGGTATGTGTTTGACGTTGACAACATGAAATCTTAAAGTGTTCACATGAATTTACTAATATTAATATTTTTCTACAGTTCTACCTCACCATTAAGTTTGAATATGCTGCTTCTATTTTGACTGGAAATAAACTGGAGATCCGTTCTACGTAATAGCCATACAATTTCATGTTAATATATGAGTTATATTTACTTTTACATTTTACTTTCGCACATTACATCCATTTGCTGTTTCAAAGGTCTGACTTAAAATCTAATCACATTTTCATCATCTGGTGGATATGTTCAGACATTTTCGTCTGTCAAATACAAATCTAACATTTTGAAACTCTGAACATTTTCAGCTAGGATTGCGCGATTCATTAAGGTTATGAGGGGAAAAGCTGGGGTCGCTCGCGCATAGTGATGCTAATTACGTTGTATGATGAAGTTTGAGTGGGTTGTGTAAGACTTCCGCTGAGATCTGCTGCCGCCCGTTTGTAGGGTAACATATTGAACGACAGTACAATGCAACTCGGCATCTCGACATCCGACTAAACTGAGAAAATCAATATAATAATAATAGCAATAATAATAATAATAATAATAATAACAACAATTCGTAAAAAACTTAATATCACACATTTCGGCAAAATCCAGAGTGCAGCACATGTACTTCATTGTTTTACTTTTCCACATATTTCGACGCACTTCACAACATCTCAACTGTACTACATTAAATTGTTTATGGTTTAACTTACTCTGCATTATGTTTTAATTTTTGTTAATCTGTATATATTAAAGACTACCAGCTGTGCGAAGATTAGTTTTGAAAATCGATGCTCCCAGTTTTGATGTCTTATAGTTCTGTTCATGCATGAACATTTTCCCTCATCTATTCTTTGCTTTTGTCAAAATGTTGTGAATACGGCGTCCTCGAGCCAAGAGCGTTTGTCGCTGTAGTCTATTCAGCGCCTCCTCGCGGGCCGGTTGGCCTCCGTGCGCTTTCCACAAAGCGGGGAGCCCCGCGTCGTCCCCGTGCCCGCGCGCCGCGCCGATGGCTGTCTGTGTGAATTATCTTAGCGCAAATTACGAGATTAATTACGCCTAATAGGCGCTTCGTCTTCGGGGCGCGCACGCATGCCGGGGGATGATATACGAGAAATCAGGGGGCGGAGCCATTACCATAATGCGCGGATGCCCCGCCCCGCTGATGCCTTTCGGATTCTTTTCGTGCACGCCCTCTCGGTTTCCGATAGGCGGCTCCCGCGCCTCCCGACCCGGCTCTCGCGCCCCGCCATCGGCCGAGGTGGCTCGGGGACAACGTGCGTTGCCGCCGCAGCGTCTTTGGTCGGAAGGTCGCCAGGGAGGAGCCCTGGCGAAGGCCGATTTTCCATTCTAGCTACATGCCGCTTCTGGGCGAGAATTCAAGCGGCTGGCAACCTTGCTCCGTAGATCTCCGTGGCCTCTCCTATCAATAGCAGCCGAAAATCGGCATTCATAATCTAACTTACACTTTTTTGCTTGGGAGATGCGGGAGTGGAAAAGCCCGCCAGCACCAGACGCCGTATCTCACATTCCAGCGGTAAAGGAGAAGCTCCACCTCTCGGGAACGCAGGCCACTCGCGGGACTAATGCCCAGAGTAGCAGATGCTCCCGAAGACCCGACATCCTTCCTGGCCACGGACGCCCTTTGATTTGTGTCATCGCTGCCAGGTTAAAACTTAAGCCCAATGGAGCCTTCCAAAACCAAGTGGTAATCTCCCTGAGCCTTTGACTGGAATGAATCGGTTCTCTATATAAATTCCTTTCGTCAAAAACACTCTGGGAAATTTGCTATTAGAGAATTTATATTTGAAATATTAGGTGCTTTACAACTGAGTAAGAGATTCGCAGGGGATTAAAAGCTAACGAGACTCTGTAGCTTTATGCTGTGCGGATTGTGGTTTAAATCGAAATGCATTGACCTGATCTGTCTTGTCAATAGCATACCAAGAATACGACAGGTAGTTTCGTCCTCATATTTTAAACTTTTGCTTTTTCAATGGGATATCCTGTGTCACTGCTCTCCCCAAATAATTTCCTTGTCGATGTCAAAACGAGTGCAGGTGAATCTTGTTTCTCGATAGCAGAATCAAAAACAACTCTGTGAAAACACGCGGTGTGTGATGTACGCCCGTGGCCATCGTTAGAGGCAATTCGAAGAAGCGCTAAGTCAGGCGTGCGTAAAGCGAATTCGGAAATTTTGAGAGTGAAACTTAATTTGGTAAAATATCCTTTTGAGTTCCCGCTGTGTTCGACAGAGGGGAAAATAACGCAGCAGTAAGGTTGGTAATTCGTTGAAATTATTAACACACGACCTCACGAGTGGCAGCGTGAAAAAGCCGATGTCCCACGCCCGAATTCTGAAGCGAGAATAAACAATCTGACCAGCGGCCTCTCCTGTTGTGAAATCGCACTGCAAAGCGAAACTATTTTGTTAGATTCCCACCCAATCGCCGTTGATAGCGTAGATCTCTCGTGGGTAAGATACAGGAGTTGCAATACTAGGCGTTTATTTTACTGGAAAATTCTGTGAAGTGAAACATTTCCCTTCAAGATCAAAGATAAGTTGAATAAATGGTACAAAAATATAAATAATAATTATTTGCTTTTTTGAAGTGTATCATTCTTCGATAGTATTTTTTTCTTTTTTGAGGAAATAGTATATTACCAGTATTTACACTCCAGTGTACATAACTCGTATAACTCGTTTCTTCTTTTCCTCGGCACATGCATATCTCCTACTTATTGTCGAAGTATGACGTAATATTTAGATTTTAATTGATGGATAGTTGCTTTATTACTTCGTCGTGTTGTTCATCATTCCAAAACTCGAAAGATTGTGCGTTTCGTAATGGTGTAAATCCTCAGCTTCGTTCGCCAAGGCATGAAATGCCGACCCCATGAGTGCAGGGCGAAAGGAAAGCGGGACTCGAGGCCAGATATGTCGTATAAAACTCAGCGCCTCCCGAGCGACGGGATTGGAGGCCCGCCTGGACGTGGTTGTGCACCCGAGTGTCGCAACATGTGGAGCCGTCCCACCCACCATGCACCCCGCTTCCCAAGGTCTCCTTCGTCCCTAATATGTGCTAGAGGCACGTATGCGCTGCACTCGGCCCGGACCCTGCACGTGCCCTCCCGCCGGGAGCTGCGGGCTACGGGGTACAGGCTAAATCGTGCCTGGCACGAAAGGTCTCACGGCCTTCGGCAGCTCGGATTAGTAAGTCCTGTCTTGTCCTGTCCTTTGGCTACGGGCCTTGGCCGACCAGCGGTGGCCCAGCCTCTCGGCCACGGGATATGGGGTTAGCATGAAGACATCCCTCCACCGTATACACTGGTCTTCATAACCTTACGGTGGGCTTTCTCATTGTCAGGAAAGCGCACAGTTATAATTTGCCTCGGCCGGGAATCGAACACGGGGTTGCGCCGCGGAAAGCGAGCACGCTAACCAACGTAACACCCAAGAGGGCTGGCTTAGTAAGCACACACGGAAACTACGGGCATGCGGGTGACTCCGGTGTTGGAGTGGTGAGTGCCATTGCGGCCGCTGAGTTACGAGCAGGCCTTCGCCCTTTGATTCTTCCCGTTTGATAGTGAGCGTTGCCTTGCCTGTGCCTTGTTTCCGAGCCGCTGTTGCGGAGGGAGGGGGGAGCAGCGCCGCCGCCGGGACGACTTGGCGCGCGTCCCAGGCGCACTTCGATTTCAAGGCAATTGGATTCAATTTACTTGTTGCTCCTGCAACAAGTCGAGCGCGGAATTAACGCTCGCACGGCGCGGCGCGACCCGACGCGACGCGAGGCAACCGCCCACGCGCCTTGTTCCGCGAGCGGGCCCGCCCACGTCGCGCGCACCCAGGCCCCAAGCGAACGGACAAATGGAACACGTGTGCAGGGTTGTTCTTGTATTTTGGGGGTTACTCGCTTTATAACTTTCCGGTTCTAACTTCGGCGCCTCCACCATGAACCCTCCGCGCCACCCTCCCTAACGTTCCCACCGTCACATTCCTACCTTTCCTTCTGTACGATGTCGGGATGGGACCGTTTAGGCCACGTCTAATGCGTATTAACTATTGAAAATAACAAATTATGTTCCGCAACAAAATAAAAGTGCAGCATTATACTTTCCAATAGTACGGGGAAATACGTGATGTTGTAGCAGCGCTATTTTTACACGAAGTGAAGTCAGATTATCTTTTAGAGTAAGAAATGGTTCCGACGAGACATTTGGCTCCTTACAACCCTTTGAAAACTGTAAGTTGGCATACTAGTGAGAAAACATCTCTTTCTTGTAATGCGGAAGTTTTCACGGGTGAATATTTACTCGTAGGCGAGTAGATTTGTCATAAATTCTCGGAATAATGGCCTGGCCGTCGCCCTAACTTTGCGTCGCAGCCGGCACCGCTGTCTGAGAAAAGATCTGCGAGAACGCGACTGGCGGAAGAGCTGCAATGAAGCCAGATTAGGAAGAAGCAGAAAGTTGCTGAGCGAACATTCCGCATGCGTCATTGAGAGTAGTCTGCTTTCACGTGGAAACCCTTGCGAGTTAAGTATTTTTCTATTACAAAGCGTAGTCAAGGCTGTTTCCCGAGTGCTTTGTGTGAAGAGCCCTGTGGGGCCTGCTTCGGCGGTGGGTGAAGATGTGATCGGCGGTGGGAGAGGAGCACCTTGTGAGCCACTGGCGCTCTAGATGGCCTTTAAAATCCGTTTTATAGCCTTGTATACCATCTTATAAACGTTTCTTCCACAAACAACAAAAAGTTCTCTCTTTTGAGCATTTGATATAGACAAACTCTTCTTAACACACTCACACACACACACACACACACACACACACACACACACACACACACACACATATATATATATATATATATATATATATATATATATATATATATATATATATATATATATTAGTAACTGGGCTTCGAAAATTTTCGAAAAATAGGGCATTCTAAGCTCATGCCTAATGAGTGTCTCAAAAAATGATAATTCTCACTCAGATAAATTTGGTCTGTCACTGTTAATCCTAATAGCAAGAACGTCGCATTACTAAGTAACACTAATAAATTAAAGAGCGTTTCATAGTGGTGCGTTCCGCTGCCCTCTCGCCCGGGGACCCCGGCTGCGCTTGCAGTTACGGCCGACATCGTGCTTCACATCGAACGTATTGTTTGAAGGAGGCCGGTCATCCATGACATTTCTCCCGTTAAGTCCCTGCACAGAAATCATTTGAACATCGAAATCTCAGCTTATCCCGCCCCAAAAATCCGTTATCGTCATTCTAAGAACTCTCTAATCACCATCATCTAAACGATCCTCAAAGTTAATTCATTATTAAAGTAACAACAATTTAAGCATCATGAAAGCGTTTGAAACAATACTACCAGGTTACCCTTCTACATATATGGGCAAAATAAATAAAAATAAGAATTATAAACAAGAAAAATGGGAAAAAAGCTCGCCTGCGTTCTCCGCCATTGGCGAAGCGGACTTCCGCCCGGCCGCACAAGCGGCGGGGCGGGGCGGGGCGGGGCGGAGCAGGGCGGAGCAGGGCGGAGCAGGGCAGGGAGGGCAGGAGGGGAACGGGTGCTTGCGCGTGTTTTTTTTTTTGGGTTTTTCCTCGTCGTCGCGGCACGCTGCTTGTCCTGTTTGTACTACACACGCCCCCCCACACCCACCCCACCCGCAGCCCAGATGCAGAGCAGAGCCCTCGCACGAACCAGGCGCCCCCACTCTCTCCCTCGCCCTCTGAACTCAGAGCACTTGCCCATCGCAATCGGGACTTCCGCCCGCGAGTGCCGATTGGCCTTCCACTCCCAAGACTACCAAGGGCACACGCGCCTCTCTGCCGGATGTTTGATCTCTTGGATACTTGCGAGAGTGGGAACACAATTTTGTAATCTCTCTTTAGCTCAGTATTCATAATCAAAATGAAGTGTTCTCATCCAGATGCGATTATTCTAAAAAACAACTTTGGAAATGCCTTTTCGCGCACATCGTTCTTGGGAAGTGAAAGTGTTCAAATGAATTTTTCTCTTTCAGATATTTTAGTTTAAATAAGTTCTTGATTTGAATTGATTTAGAATAAATTATATTACATTGCTAATTAAAACAGTATCTTATCAATATCTTACAACAGTATATCTATAATTCTACTTTGTTTTCCCACATTGGTGATTCTGTGAAAACTCCCTGCCTCGAACATTCATAAAGTAAATTAAAATGTTCTCATTTATTACAATCTACGAAATCTCAAGTATTGACTAATATAGTAGTTTAGTACTCTTAAGTTCTCTCTCTGCCTACAGTTTTTATGAAAACTTGGAGTAATATCAAAACGTCCATCGCGTTTGGAAATTGTATCCGATGCTCTGCCTTTTCTTTACAATGGCCCTCCTTGCTTATTTGCGCATGCTGCCTTTCCGTCTGTTGAAGCTAAAGCTAATGAGCCTCTGTGTCACGAAGGCTTTGGCAGCGGAAATAATTTGTCGTGGTTTGAATTTGGAAGCCTCTCTGGCACACTGTTACAGTGACGTGTAAATAAAGACAGCTGGAACCTATTTCGAAGTTGGCTGTAAAAAGTGCGTCAGACAGTGAAGTGAATTTCGTTGCGTTTGTTTATTTCAGATTCGCTAGACTCGAGAAGTATGTTACGGTTTGGGCATGAGGAAAACATTGGCCTGCCTCGGATCGGAAAAGACATTCAGCCTCAGAATACGACACTGATGAGCATCTAACCGTCGATTGTTTCAGTCAGAGGAGAATCAACGACAATTCACCATCCTCAAGGGTCAATCACAATATGTGTTACGCAATGATGTAACTAGGATTTTTCTATGGGGAATTGGTTTAGTGCCCAACCGGCTTCATGTTTTCTTATAAATTATTTTTCATTTATAATATTGAATGACATTCGTTAATTTAGAAAATTATTAAAAGCAATATGTGTTTTCCAAATGGCTGGAGGAGGCTGAAGCCTTATAAGTCATCCCTTGGGTTCGTCCCTGGTGTGACTCAATAGATTTATTTCTTTGGGATAGAATACTTCTGACTTAGCCAGTATAAAAGAGTTGTAATTTTGATTAATATTGTTGTGATGTCAGGAGCGATCAGTAGTTTGTTTCAAGCCTTTATAGTCTCTCCAGAAAGGAGCAGTGATAAACCACCCAGTTGTTTGGCTTTATGCATGGAAGGGGAGTCGCGAAGCAGAGGAGAAAAAATTGAGTTCACGTGTGAACAATATTTAGTGATATTAGGGTGCAAGCAACGAACGAGCGAATATCGTCAACTTCATACGAGTGTATTAATATCCTGTACAGTGAGTTCAATACAGTATTTCTACGGCTAATGACAACCATTAAAATACTCAGGATTTTCGTTGAAAAAGAAATTTGATAATTCTATTCAACCAAATCTCATGAATTGTACTTTCTCGCCTTTCCACGTACGTAGTAAAGAAAGAGTATTGTGATCGCAGGGAGGATTGGCGATTTTTCGACGGAAAAAGCTCTTATTGTAGGGCTCTGTTATCAAAAAAGTATGTTCATCTTATTGCTGTATGTCGTAAATTACTTCCACGAACTCGTAAAGTGCGAATCCACGTGTTGTGGGTCCGTGATTCCGAAAAATCGATTGTCGGCGAAACGTCTGTCTGTCTGTCCGTCTGTGGCGAACGCCTAAACCGTCTTACGATTCTCTCTAAAACTGAAATTATACGGTCGATCTGAACCAACTCGAAACCGAATTTGAAATTAATATTTTGAATTTTAGGAGTACTTTACATGATGCTTCAAACATATTTTCAAAATTTTCTCAAAAATGACTAAACAATTTTATATTTAACTTTGTTCTGGGATGGGACGCTCATAAAAATTCTGCTGATCTCATTTTCGTTTAAATCCCTGAATTTTCGAACAAATCACAATTTTTTTTGCACTAGTTCTTCCTATAACTATAATGCTGAAGATTGTAAGTAAAATGCGTTGCCTTTGATGCTTTACTTTCTTAAGTTAAGAGTGGCTAGGAGGATTTCCTGTTAGAGTTCACAACATACATGCACAGTTCTTGGTAAGTATAAAATATTTGAATTACGTTTCTCAGAAACATATTTATGTAACTCTGTGTACATGCGTAGCGATCTCTCAATTTATTAGTCTTCGAAAATAACTACTTAACGACATGAAAGAATATATTTGAGTCTTTTCGAGTTCCAAACCAGCGTCCTTCTTTCCTGCTCTAACCTTTTTTATAGACCTTCCTTTAGTGCGATGCAGTCGCACGGGATCAGCTAAGATAGAATACTTATCATGATTGAATACTTCTTAACTCTTAACTTCTTTCTGATTGGTCAAACACCTGTACTATATTGAAGTTGAATGAATTATGAACATTGTGCAAGTAGAAGCAGACGTCAAATAAGGGAATTATAAAATGGGTGTAGAAGAAATAACTATGTTTTTTGCTCAATTAAGGTGGAGGGATTGTTTTTTCCGTGAACGATAGGTCGAGAGAAAAACAATCGAAATATTTTTCCTCATGTAATATAAACAAAATATCGACGATCGTATAAATATGCTTTCATAATGAATTATCATTTGTTTCGTCTCCTTTCTTCATTATCATTTGAACAGAGCTTTATCTTAGCAATTTAAAGTGACAAGTATATTTTTACCCGGAAATATGACGTCCCAGTTCAAAAAAAATCTTGTACACCGTCATTATAAACAACCTTTTTCTTAGATCGAAATCTTTCGTAGAGTAGCATTTTATGGCACAGCCCGTCCTTGCCACCCGTCCTCCCTGCATTACGTCATACTAGCGTGTTGCCAATTGCAAATATGCTTTTGAAATTTGTTTCCAAATGAATTTAGGTTATTTCACAAAATTATAAGGCTGTCAAAAATAGCGTAAGCAACTCGTTTATAATTTTTTTGTATTCATATAAATTTAAAAACTCGATCCTAATGTCCCTCATGTGATACTTACGCAATGAAGTATAACATTGCCGACCTGAATAGCCGAGGCGGTTATGACTGAAGGACCATAGCTGCCTCGGCTCGAAGGGTCGAGGGTTCGAATCCCTCCAGGCACATGGATGGTTGTGTGTGTATGTGTTGTCCTACATGTTCTCCCTACAGTTAACAAATCACAGTGGTCGCTATATGACCAATATGTTGAAGAGCGACCATTGCTTGTGATTGTAACGTGCGCCTCCTCTTGTTGCAGGCGAAGCTCGAGACCAAGGCGTTGAAGGCGAAGCGGCCCGGCTTCACGGATGACCGCTATAACGAGACCTCGTACTACATTGAGAACGGTGAGTACTAGCGACCGGACACTAAAGCACTTACATCCTTCTACTTAAGAAACTGTAATATAAAATTGTAATCTTGGCAAATATATAAACTAAAATTGTAATCTTCGGAAATCGTCACCGTCCTAACACAGTATCCCTTTTTTCGTTACATATTTTTACTAATATATATATATATATATATATATATATATATATATATGTTACAAAAGATAACTATATTACAAATTTTAATATTTTCACAAAATATTGTGTTATTCTATTTTCTTTAATTTTATTACATATTTTTTATGAAAAGTATTGGTTTAAAAAATATCAGAATACCCCAGTCTTATTAACGCGACCACCCTTTACTTTTTATATTGCGCAATTCTTTAATTTCATTGTAATGTTTGCTACTGATGTCTTAGAAACGAATCTTTTGAGAAACTTGGCATTGTGAAAGGTGTTCAAGTTCTATTAATGCTTTAAAGTTTTTAAAAAGTACAAATGTTTGTAACAAAAGCAATAGATTTAAGTAAATCGAAGATAAAACAATGAATTATAGATAAACTTACCGGAACACCATGCAATTTTTGCAATAAAACAATTAGAGGGGACAGAAGAAGACAGTGCTAACCTTCATTTCATAAATCCAACCAATGGTCTTAGAATGTCTCCTGAAAACAAATTTTACGATCCAAATTCTGATCAAACGTGTTCATAGAATTACAACATGTGTAGCCAGAAGTTTATATAGAAAATAAGACAAGTATCATTGTACTAAATATTACTTTTCTCTCTTGGTGACAAACATAGTCATCGATTAGCACAATGTTCCCCCTGTCCCCTTCCTTAAGAAAAGTGTGCAGTCTTTCTCTCATAAAACCAATGTGACTTCCCATAGAACCATTGTTGTCATCGAAAATAATCGTTGCCAAATATTCATGAAAAAGATGCCACTTTTTGACCCCGCAAAACATTAATTGTGATACAAGTGTTAAAAACGAGGGAGAAGTAAATATCTGTTAAAAGTTGCTTCCGGGCGTGAATGCTGCTCCAGCTGCCTTGCGCGCCGCCCCCGCCTTTCGCCCGTCGGCGCCGCTGCGCTCGCCCCCCCCCCCTGTTCACTTCCGAGCGCCACACGCGGAGCGATGCCTCGGCCTTCGTGTCGTATGGCTGCTAATAACGGCACGGCTGCAGCGAACACATGATGCATCCCCACGCACCACGTCAAACGTGCTCTTCTTATCAGATATTAAAAGGCTCCGCGAATAATAGCTTGTGCAGGCAATGTTTTAAACAAAGTACTTTCACAATTTGAGTTCGCTGCTGTTAAGTGCTTGCTGCGGGTCAGTCGCGCACACCAGCTCGCGCGTGCATGAAATCTGAGCACGCATCACAAAATGTCCTTTTTAAATTGCAATGTCTTTGATGTTAGAGTGAATAAAAAGGGAATGACTGTTACATGTTTGTCTAAGATCTTAAATAGACTAATATTTCATCTATGGCGTTTTGTATGGTAGCTGTGATCTTGCAAGTGATTCTATTCGTCTACCTCTCCTTACTACATCCACCAAAGTTTAATTGCCAGTTTTATTGCTGCTACTCCTCATTTCTCGTTTATTTCTCTCCCACGCCTGTATTCCTGCAACCACTCGTCCGGTACCGCCCCCTCCCACGCACGAGCATCATCTGTGTCCATGGCGTGCCGTGGCTCGCTCTATTTGGCTGCACTGCGATGCACTGGCAGCCCTCTGGTGGACACGTGGCAGGGTCGCCCGCGGTGGGTGAGGGCGGCAGCGTAGTTTTAACGCGGTGTAACTAATGACGCGTGGAAGGGACCGCCGCACTCCCCACGCCCTCGGCCCCCAGGGGGCACGCGTGCAGAAGCAGACGACGCTCCCCCTCCCCCCTATTATATATATCTACAACATTCCTTATTATTATTATTATTATTATTATTATTATTATTATTATTATTATTAAGTAAAACTAATTTAACAATTTTTAAATGGCAAAAATGTTTATAATGTAATTTTACATTATAAGATTTAATTAAACTTTTAACTAATGTGTGATGTCGGATTTCTCTTTTCTCTGTAAGACATTAATTTATAAATCAGTTTGTATCTGACCCGTTCTGCGGTCAATGAAATACTTGTGTTCCCTTATTCATACTTTCCTCCGTAGTGCTACTTGCCATCTATATCATAAATCGAACTAATTATGTCAAAGAATGGCACAACCTGCCTCGTACTAGTTACTTTACTATTCTCTTTAATCTGCGCTAGCTATTCGATTTTGCTCGACTCTCCAACTGTTGCCGCCTAATGGTCATTTTTTTTCACATTTTTTTTTCAATTTTTTTATCCCTAATTGTAGAACTGAAATATTACTTTAATACAGTGTATTACAGTGGTTCTGTATGCAAATTTTCGTTTAAAAATTTGGAGCCGTTTTAAAGAAAATGTCGTTTGAGGTTTATGAAAATGCGCAATTTTGGACTCATAGAAAACAAAAGTTTTCGAGGCGTTGCCTCATTCGCTAGTATTTCGCTTGTTCGCCAAAACCTCAGTGTCCGTGTACGTACAGAACTATTTCCAAGCGACACGTACAACTACACGTATTGCAACTGTCTGTTCTTGAATGTATGCATTTATTGATTCAGAAAGGGCACGGAGGTGTTTGCAAGGCGATGGCATGCAGCGCGTTCGTCGCGTGTGATTTTATTCAAATTAGCCTGTAGACCGCGGCGCGGATTCAATTTTTTTCTCTTATGACTCGGGTTCATAACGAATATCCATCTGCGGTTTATTTTGGGCGTCGCACGTCGGCAGGGCGGCTGTGGCGCGCGAAATGCTGCCGTAAAAGCAGAGGGCGGTGGCGCAAAACGCGCCGCCTTCTCTCTCCGCTCTTCAGCTTTCGCATTTAAAGCGAAGAATTTGCGCTCCGGAGCCTGGAGTCCTGCCTTGCAGTGTGTATTGTGTCCCTTTCGTTTGTGTTTCTGAAGCGTGACTTTGCAAACTGGGAGAATTCTGCGAATCGTTCTTCAATTATCATAGTCCTTCTTTTCAATTCCCTGACAAAAGAGAAGATGTTTCTGCGTCCATATTTTATTTTTACTTTAAATTCTATGGTATATTATGTGTAGTTACTGCAGTATGGATGTGAAAAAGAGTTAAGCGAAAGAGCATAAAGTTAGTTTAGTGCTACTGACGCTCTTGGCCCATCTGCTGACCTGCTCCTCACTAGTGGTCGGTGATTCCGTGCCGTTGCTAGTGATAATCATATCACTCTTATGGTGACTCCTATGGCGTCGAAAACAGAAGACTGTTGAGTGCGTAAGCCGTTGCCTCCTTTTGCCCTGATTGTAAGCTAGTTACTAGCAGTCACGTGATCTATGAGTGCGTTTCGTATCCGCGCGCCCGACTCAGCCCTGGCCCGCTGCCCCGCTTCTGCAGAGCTGCCAACCCCGAGATGCCACAATGTTGAGGACGTTCCTCCCCCTTTTGATATTCTTGTGTTTAGGTGTAGTTTAATTCTCTTTTCTTTTACTGCCTTAAGTAAGGTAGCGCAAGCTTTTGGAAGATGTTGCCGTCGGCAGCGAAGAGGAGGGAGAGCGAGCGAGAGCGAAATAAGAGAATAGAAAGAGAGAGGAGGAGAGCGAGACTTTGCGCGAGACCACTAACCTAGTTTTCTTTTTCTGTTGACAATTAAAACAAATGCCTGATTGTTTCTATTTTTTTATTGATTGGTCTTTATGCGAATGTGATGACTCTTTATCTGATTGCGTTAGTTCTCATTTCATTTGTTTGGTCTCAATTTTATGGGTGTTCTAAATTTGTTCTAGATTTGATGGGGTTAGTTTTGAATTCGAATTTGTTTGGTCCCATTTTGAGCTTAAAAATAGTTGTAGTTCTGACGGTTTTTATGTATTTGTTCTCGTATCTTGTTTAGCCAAACCCAAAAAACGCTGAACCCACCACACGGAAAACTACCTATCATAGCAGCCAGCCGTTACGATGCCCAAGACAAGGGCTGAATTCGACATTACATAGCTACGGAACGAGTGTCGAAAATACACAGCAAACGAGACTCAAACCCTCAGGCCTCCGGTCAGAGATACAGTAGGGAGAACTGTAATGATTGCTCTGAGGTGTCAAAGGTCATGGTCATAAGGACTCTTTTTTATTTATTGGTATTTGACAGATATGGATCAGTTATTAAGTAAAATTATTCATGCTTTGTTCCTATATTCACTAACTTAACATTTTGGCTTGAGCTTCTTTATTATCTATGTGGTGCTTCCAGTTAAGTTTGGTGTGTAGTGCGATATATTTAAAGGGTTTGATGGGCCACTCCATTATATTGTTGGATAGTGCCATAGCAGTGGGTGAAGTGTAAGGCCTTAGTGTAAATATGCTACCGGGTGTTGTACGTAGCTGCAACTGTTGAGTTCGCAAGTGGGCGCCGCCGTGCGAGCCCCTTCTGCTCCCCAAGAAGAACAAGCCTCCGGGCCGCGGAAACGCATCTAATTTACGTGCGCGACTTCTTGTCGCCGGCAGAGGGCGCGGGCGCCTCCGGCGGCTGCCGTAAGAAGCGCATCGCCCGGAAGAGACGCGGCGGCGCGACGGAAAATCGCCCTTGAGGCGAGGAGCAGGGGGGGGGCGAAGTAAAAGCGGGAGTAGCTACAGAGAGGTCGAAATCCGCCGCTGCCTCTAGAATATCTTGCGCCTGGCTGTTCTGATCGGTTGTCTTCCGGGTCAAAATCAATGCTCGGCGAACGCGTGTCTAGTCAATATTAGGCAAATGCCGGAGCAGACCATCCCTTTTTCTTCCTTGTCCTATCGTCATCCCTTACTTAGACTCACATTGTCATTTCCTACACTGCCACACATCGGGAGACTAGTCATTGCAGTGTTTCTGACAGGCAGATTCGAGTGAGACGACGGTGTCAGACGTGTCGACACTAGCTGAATACATGGTCTATTTCAGCCGCTGACTGGGGGAGAATTCTAGTGGCCGGCTGCTCTGAACGGTAGTTTTCCGTGGCTTCTCCGCTGAGTGCCACGGACTGGGTGCGACCTTTCCTTACTTTTCCTTCTTCTATTCTCTCCCTTTCCTCCCACTTTTACACTTACATGCACTAAACTACCGACTCCTCGGGCGGAGCCTCACTGGTAGAGATTCCTGTAGGTGGAAACCCCAAGTCAATGTGTAGGTTGGCGCCGGGGAACCCGAAATACTGCGCCCTTGGAGCGGCGCGGCGGGCAGCGCTGCTGACAAGACCGGGGCGAGCGCCGGTTGCCGCGCGTGCAAGGGAGCGGGAAGCCTTCGGGCGCGGGAGAGGCATAAAAGTTTCCGAATGAAAGAATTCAAAGGGCGCGGCTGATGTGATGAGGGGCTGGATGTGGACTGGCGATTGGCTGAGGGAGAGGGCAAGGAACGTTGCGGTTCGGCGCAAAGGGAAGGGAGGAAAACAAAGGCCGTCGGGAGATGGAATCTGCACTCAGAGAGAGAGGGGGGGAAGGGAAGGAGAAAAGGGGAGAGGAGCTTGCTTAGCTGCGGGGGCGGCGCCCGCCGCGCGACAGTTGAGCTCCGCTGAATAATGGATGGGGCCCGTTGACGGCGCGGGGCGGCCCCGAGGTCGCCCGGTCGCCCGCGCCCGCCGGCGCGGAGCGGCGCAGCGGCCATCGCAAAGTTGATTTAGCCGCCGGCGTCCGCGCGCCCCCGAAAATTGTCTCGGATGTTTATTCGGAGCCCGAGCGGCAACGCCCCCGCGCGGGGACCTGCCGAGGGGCAGCGGGGCACGAGCGCGGGCCGCGTTGGCGCTGCAATTGCGTTAAGGAGAGAGGGTTGTTGCATTCGCAGCGGGGCGTGCCCGGCCTCGCTGTCCGTCTCTGCGGTGGCCGAGTGTCTGGTGGAGAAAACGATATCTTCTTCACTGTTTCCGCTGTTCCGTGGCGGATTTTCTACTCTTGCTAGCTCCAACGGGTTTATTCGGGCTTGATTGGAATTTACTTGCTGTGTGGAGGAGAATTCTAGCGGCCGTCTGCTCTGATCGCTAGTTTTGCGTGGTTTCTCACAAAAGTGCCTGGTGAATGTCAAGGCAGTTCCCTAACAAACGGCCCAAAGTCCGCGCGCGATCTTTTCTTCCTGGACATCGTACTCTCCTGATCCTTTACCACGCACGGCGGGAGCTTAGAGGTCGTCCTATGCCGGTGCTCACATCCCTTTAGAGGGAAGCCCTAAAACGACGTGTAGGTCGGCGCCCCACCTCACGTCCCATCAGGGGAAGATCTCTTCCTCTTGCACGGATGGAACATATACTACTCTTTAAGTGTCTAATGATCATAGATAGCAGCGCGAAAATACTAAATAATCAAGAGAATTCAATTGATTTTAACTTAAATAATTCATGAAGCTGACATCGCTATATTACTCTTGTACATCTTTTGCCTGCGTTTTTACAAAAGAAAGTGATTCACACGACCTACTTCTGACCCTCTGTGAAGGATTATGTCGAACTCGACGTAGTCCTGCCTCTTCGTGAACATGCAACGTGACACTGTGCGAATGTACGTGTACTTTTTTCATTTCCGAAATCATATCAGAATGAGAAAAGTTTATGCAGTGTCCGTAACTTTTCTTGTATGAATAAACGTCACAGCAACGTAACTTGCAAATTGCGTGCTGTGCGTCGCGTCGACGGTGACAGTTCTCCAACTAGTTGGTCGCCTTCAGCTCCTGATTCCGAGCGCATAAGCCAGGCCTCGGCGAGCATCCACAATGCGCACGCGCTGGCTCGACTCGGGGCTTCCAACTCGTAAGTGCGCTTATCAGCATTTGTAGCAGCTTTGCCGCTGCGCCCAAAGGCTGTTAATTAGAATGATCCCTGTAGCTCGTGACCGGAGCAGAATGAACAACTGTACGATTGTGTTGCACAATAGCCTAGAAATTATAACAAATGGAATTTGGATTAAAAAATAAAATAACAGGAAATGCATTCGCTGAAGAACACACTCACATCTTTATCACGCAATTCGCCAGACGCGCACGATTACTTACGCCACGTTCTACATTGAATGTATCATGAAATAATATTTGTCCTGAGATCTCAATGGTTTTAAGAAAATTATAATTTCAATTGGTGCTGTAAAAGTTCAGTTTACCTGAAGTTCGAACGCTCGAAACGTATACTCAAACAAGACACTAATGACGAAATTCATTCATGATTGACTTGTTGTTTATATTTAAATTTAAATTAAAAGGGCTTGAGGAGCAGCAAAAGCGGATGTGCGATCAAGTCCCTTTATGGTGCTTCCCGTGGACAGGGGGATTGGTCGCGGTGGATCGTGGTCGAGGGGGGATGCAGGGCGAGGGGCGCGCTGCGAAGTCGCCTCCGCCCCGAAGTTGCTCTCCTCAGCAGCGCGCACGGGGGTGCGTCTTTGATCTTCGCGGGGCCTTTGTGTCCCTGCGGTTACCTGGATGTTTCTGGGAAATGAATAAAGGCTTGGCTTCCGCCCGCCCGCCCGCCGCACTGTGTCTGGAGTAGTTGCTTTCTCGTTCGGGGGACTCGTCATGTCGCGATGGAGTGGCGCCGGCAATGTTGCCACGCCGAAACCGTCTAAGCCTGAGCTGCTCTCTTGGAGCACGAAGCCACGAAAATCGCTTGGCGACTTTCGGTTTAGTACACCCTTCTGAGCACTCGCGCATTTTCCATCGTCTGAAGTTCTCACAATATCTATCCAGCTTTTTTCATGTCCACGCCGTTTTCCTCTGGGAATTGAACCAGACGTCGAGTCGTCGGGATTCATTTCGGTTTATGTCGGACGCTTCTCTACTAAAAAAATGTCCTTTCGAGATGTTTCTAGGTACATGTTGCGATGTATTCCTCATGAAAGATGTATTCAGTTTCTCGTCTTTTTTATTATTTAACTTAGGATTTATGAAAAATATCTGTATTTATTCGAGAATAATCCTTCCGTTTATTTGAATCTTCTAAGAAATAAGATTAATTTTGTCTGGAAGAGGAAACGTGCAATATTAATTATCCGGAATTTTCAAAAGTTATTTTTAAGTTTAAAGTTCATGATATGATATTTGAATACATTTCAAGAGAATTGGTATACTTATGAAACTGCATATGTTTTTCATTTCTGTCGTCATCTTTCAGTTAAACTTAAAAAGTTGTTCTCCATAAGACCGTCCCTTTCCGCATGTCTTTATGACGTTTCTATCATGTTGCACTGTACTGGATGAAACATGCTCGCATCATTATATCGTCATTTTGACTACAACGTAATACATTTTGCATACTTTTATTGCTACTAATATTGCGGAACAATAAACTGCGAGAAAGTATGTGCTGTTGCAGCCACTGTAGTTTAGAGTTAGAAATCATTGTTACATATTTTCAAAGAGGATTCCTTGTTCCTTCTCTTGAATAGTAGTAATCTTATTTGCTTTTAGAACTCTGTCATGGTTTCCAATGATAAAAAATAAACACTCCCTTGATATTGATTTCCTCATCTGGTTCGTTTCTATACTTTTCTTTTTTACATTTACTGAATTTTTAATTTCTGTACACTAAGATTCCTTTCCATCTTCTTCACACCTGAGTCATTTATCTTCATAGAACTCTTCTTAATTTACTTTGCCTATGGAAACGCTTATAAATGTTTTTCAGACTTGAAGTGTGAGTACGTTAGATGTATTGTAGTATGATATCTTAACTTCGCAGAAATTGTTATTCAGTGCACTCTTAATATTTTTTAGTCAAACAAAAATGCATCATATAATGAGCAAACTTAAGATATAAGATAAAGGATGACAATTGGACAAGTTGAATTGCCATCGTTTAAACAGCACATTATTTTGATCTCATCGTCTATGAATCTAATTGTGTCTTTGTTTTATGACATCATTTCCTTTCTCAGAGAAGATAATTTTATAATTGCTGCAACGTAGCTGAGAGATTTTTCTTTTAACTCTATTTCGTTTAAAAGGCATGACGTTTCAAAGTCTAATTAAACTGAATATTTGTTGCTCTTCACCTCTTCTAATTTCAATATCATCGAAATCAACGCCGAGAGAAATTGCGTGGTTAAAGAGAAAGAAAACCCTTTTGAACTTCGCTCTAGTATAGATTTAAGTATATACAATTATCATATGTATATATACATTTATTCATATCATATATACAATCTTTGAATTGAATTGAATTAATGCCTTATTTTACGTGTCGAGATTCAGGCTAGCTCTTCCGTCTGACCACGCAAATTTCGATACGGTCCTTTCACCAACTAGTAGAGAAAGGAGGTATGTAGCATTTATTCTGCACCATCTGTGTAGCGTTATCTTCTCCTGAGCTGTGAGTTGCGTTGTGTGAGGACGATCGCAGGAGTGTGTGGTGTGTGGCGTGTGTTGCAGGCCTGCGCAAAGTGTACCCGTACTACTTCACCTTCACGACGTTCACCAAGGGCCGCTGGGTGGGCGAGCGCATCCTGGACGTGTTCGCAAGAGAGTTCCGCGCGCACCCCGCCGAGGAGTATGTGAGTACCCCCATCGGGCGACCCTCCTCCATGGGTTCTCTGAGAATTCGGGGCGGAGGTCTTTCTCTCTGCATCCTCTTGCACACACACATCCTTACACCTCGTACATGCACTCCACTACCACACATAGTGGGAGACCAAACGGGAGCTGATATCTTAAACGGGGTGATCTTTGGAGGACAGGAGATATTTGGAGGATAACCTCGCAAACCAACGTGTACGTTGGCAAAGGATCTTCAGCTTGCTATAACAGTACACTCCGTACTAAAGATAGTAGTTGACTGGTCCGGATTGAGCAAATATCCGTTCACTGGACCGGGAAAGGTGGCTCAGGGCATCAACTAATGTCACTGCAGGTCCTAGGTTCGAGTCAAAACGGTGAAAGGATTTTCGACACTAGCTTGTCAGCTTGGTCAGTCGCTCTCAGATTTCAGTCGCTCTCTGGGGGGAGAACTCTAGCGGCCGGCTGCTCTGATCGGTAGTTTTCCGTGGTGTCTTCTATTAATACCTGATGACTGTGAAGACAGTACCCTAATAAACGGGCTACGGACTGGGTGAGATATTTCCTTCATCTTTCTTGTTCTAATCTCACTCCTTACTTACTTACACGTACACTTACATACAGTACACTACCACACTTATTGGAAGAGAGCTTAGAGCTTGTCTCGGCTGGAGTGATGCCCCGCTGAGTGGGGCATCACCTGGCTGGGGGTGCCCCGCTAACCGACTGTAGGTCGGCACCGGATCTTGCCATCCAGCGGGAGATCACCACCACCTCCCGAGGGGAAACAATAACTCCACATACGGGGCTAATGCATTTCGCCATTGACGCGCCCGCAATCACTAACAATCATTCACTCGACGGGTGCCGAAACCAGAGTTGAACGCAAATGAGTGCATTGTGTGTGTGAGAGTGTGCTTTGTGTGGTGTCGCAGGAGCGCTGCATCCGCGCGGGGACGCTCACCGTCAACTACGAGAAGGTGGACGTGGACTACCGCCTCAAGCACAACGACCTGCTGGCGAACGTCGTGCACAGGTACGCCCCCTCGCCAACAACCCACGTGCAAAGGCCGTCTGGGAGGAATGAACGCTTTCAACTCGAGCAATGGGCATATTTTCTCCATTAAAATCAGGTTTCATGGGGGAGAGTGTAGTAAAATGCTTTAGAGGTTGTGTCAAAATAACTGTTACATATTTCTAGAGCATGAAGGAACTCGAAAATTATTACTTCTTCTCCATGAATGTGTCGAAAATTTCAGTCTAACGAAGTGTAACACATGAGGAATTTGCTCCTGATGGGTAGGCATCCCGTCATACCGCAATGTTTGGCGAAAACTCTGCGTCAGTACGTGACCTGGCAAACAAAAATGGAAAATAAGCTGCCTTCGAATTATTGATGAATGTCACATGTGTAACCGTTTTGGAAAATTTCCCACGTGTTTATTTGAAGAAACTGGCCGTCTTCCAGACTCCTACATGCTCTAGAAATTTGTAATATTTGACACATCTGTGTTTGATGGTTTTGGACATTGGTTGTTCATAAATGGTATTTCTTATTTTGTTATTTTAAGTCTGATATTGTAATTTACTTATTATAAAGAATTGACTAAATTGAGCAGATTTTGTTTTACAATTGTAGAAAATTTACTTTACAAGTAACAAAAGTTATTTAAAGACAGGAATGTAAACGATTCGGCTTGTATGGTTGTGACCTTCATCAGGACAGAAACTATACCATCTAAGCAGGTTGGGCAAAATTCGCAGCTGTGCACATTCATAGGGTCCATTGACATGAGTATTATAACCACCGTATCTGATCGTTTTTAAAGAGGTATAAATTAACCCCAAAGTAAAATTGCATTACTCACATTGTTCATTGCCTGCAAAAGAGAAGCTACTCCCATGACAAACGCAAAGAAAACTCTTACTTTTAAACGTAATTTTTCTTGTTATAAACACAGTTAAATAAAAACTCTGCCCGATTTTGTCAAGTCTTTATAATATGTACAGGTTATTCCTGTCGCATTTTAGTAATTCTTTTCTCCTTGTCAAGTTTAAGGATGTTTAAGCCTTCGATCTTTAGTGTTTTGGGTTACTGTTTATAAGATTGTATTTATTTTGTATTGAGTGTCGAAGTAAACGTTAGGTAAATAACTTATAAAACTATCTAAATTTAGTGTGTTTTACTGTGTGTTATTTCTTTTGATGAGTAGCTGGCTTGGCCACTCAACCAATTGTAATTTAATTGCGGAACCTATTGTAATTGTTCATTTTGACTAAAAATAATTTTCTATTTATTGTTTTCGTTATTGGAAAAAAAATCTTCAAAATATTAAAAGTTTCCTTGTGAAAGAAAACTTTATTTTAATAACATTGAGACCTTGCTTAGTTTGTAAATATGATAACTCCACCTTTGAGAATCATTTTTAGTATATTTTCTACTGGTTCAAAAATCTAGCTGCGGCTATATTTAATTGAACTGTATGTACAATGTATTTGCTGTGAGTAACAATTATCATTATTGAAACTGTTAAAATTTTCAATATGAATTTAATTACTCTGTATTGTAACCGTAAATACGACTAATTTTGTTTAATACATCTCTGTAATATTTTGTTCGCATTCATAATATCGCACTCATTTGTGAATTAGCCGCAATGCGTCGACGGTCGTTTAGGAATTTGGCATGCAGTCCGATCACATAAATTAAAGAGCGGAATTCTCGCGCTTTATGAGGGCACACGTATTATTGCCGCTTTCTGTAGTATTAACTTGTTCCTTTTGTAATACCGGATTTTCGCCCTTCCTTTACAAGTAGTGAAGTAATCATTTGGTAAATGGTTGATTAATTCATCATTAAAATTGAATGTAAGGAAAGGGAAAGATATGACATGTCAGAATATAAATATGTTTGAAAGTTCAGACGATTTATTTTTTTATTAGATAGTGAGTTACCACATATGGTTTCAAAGAATACATAAAGATTCGTTTCTCGTCAATTTGAAAGTTAATGAAGGAATAGCATTGATATTAAGATTAAGTTGTATCTAATGTAATAACTGATACTGTAATAAAGTTAACATGTGAATGTATTTTCTGATAGGTCATATCTTTGAACAAGCTTAGAGATTGTTGACCTTAATAATAATTGTTCTTTCTTTTCTGCTATGAAGTGTTGTAGCAAGTGTTCTGTCGACGAACTGTCCATTCCAGGTTGTGAAAGTTGCCTTGCCTGCATGGCGCTCGGAGGGGGTCGTTTGTGGTGGTGTCGTGTTCTGACTGTAATTAGACCCTTGTGCCCCGCGCAGGCTTTCGGCTGAGCTGGCCTGCTGGCTGAATGTGAGCTTAGCTAAGCAGCCTGTGTGCGTCCTGGTCGACCGCCGCCGTGTGCTCAACCAGCTCTTGCCGCGCCGCCC